TTCCTAGGCCCGGGGCTGGGCCCCCTCCCCTTCCACTTTGCCCAGTCCTTACTGACTGCTGAGCGGCTCTCTGGGTCAGGCCTCCACCGGCCGCTAAGCCGGACCCGTTCAGAGCCCCTGCCCCCCAGCACCACCGCCCCCCCTCTGCTGGGCCCCCTGCAGCCCCGCCTGGAGCGGCTCAAACCTCACGTCCAGCTGATCAAGGTGAGAGGAACTTGGTAGGGGATGTGCCTAGGGGGTGCTAAAGGGGTCCTGGGACCTGAAAGCAGGGTTTCTTAGGAAGTGCAGGACCTGGAGGGCAAGAGAGAGGATGTGCTGCTGGGGGCCCAGGGCCACATAATGCAGGAGTCTAAGCATCCACCACCTCCCGCCCACACTCCTTGCTCCACCATGACTTCTCAGCCAGGCATCTCCCTTCCCCAGCGGCCAGCCAAGTCGAGTGAGAAGCCCCGGCTGCGGCAGATACCCTCAGCTGAGGACCTGGAGACCGATGGCGGGGCATTGGGGCAGGGGGTGGACGACGGCCTGGAGCACAGGGAGTCGAGCCACGGGCAGCCTGAGGCCAGAGGCCCTATTCCTCTGCAGCAGCACCAGCAGGTATGGGGGTACCCATGTGCCTTCAGAGTGTGGTCAGAAGACTGGGGCCTGGCATAAGCTGGGGAAGGCAGACGGATGTGATGTCAGTGCAGGGCACAACTCCGTGACCCATGATGGTTGCCCGGCCAGATCCTTGGTACTGACTCGCCACACAATCACACACGCCCGCATGCTCGCATACACACGTCCCTACAGCAGCCTGCCAGTCTCAGGGCCAGTCTGTGCCAGCAGTGAGGCTGGCCTCGCAGAGAGCTGTACCCAGTCCGGCCCCAGGACTCCTCTCCTGTGACCAGCTGTATTGTGGCTAGAGCACAAGGTAGACAGCCAGGCTCATGCCCTTTAGAGAGCTCTCCCTGTGCCAATTGGGCTGTGGTGTGTTAGTTTGCCAAGGCTGCTATCACATCCTACAGACCTGGTGTTGAAAACAGCCGAAATTTCTCATCTCATGGTTCTGGGGCTAGAAGTCCAAAGCTAACTGGCAGGTTGGCTCTTTCTGAGGACTATGAAGGACGGAGCTGCCTCCAGGCCTCTCTCGTGGGCTTGCAGCTGGTCACCTTCTGCTTCTGTCTTCACACCATCTTTTCTCTGTGTCTCCATTCAGATGTCCTCTTTTTATAAGGACAAGTCATATTGGACAAGGCCCACCACACTCACCTCATTTTAACTTGCTTACGTCTGTCTGTAAAGATCCTGTTCCCAAATGAGGTCACATTTTGAGGTGCCAGAGGCTTGGACTTTGGCATATGGATGTAGGGCGGACATGACTCAACCTGTAACACCTGGTAACAGCCCACACTTACGTGCAGTGGCTCATGCAGTCCCTGTGTCCCAGGGCAGCCACACAGTCCTTGGAGATGAGGAGATCGGGTCAGAACTGAACCTAAGGCTCCTACCCTTGCCTCTGGCTTTGGAGTCCCAGAGCCCAGGGGTCTCTGGCAAAACCAGGTAGTTAGCCTGGGGCATATACTCTCAAGGGGGCTATTGGGGTTAGCGGGGGTTAGGGAGTCAAAGGCCAGAGCCCAGCACAGCAGTAGGGCTAGGCATATCCTGGAGTCTCCAGAAAAAGGGTCTCGGGCAGAAGCTGAAGAAGCAGAGCCTGAGAAACCAGAGACTGACACCCCTGTTTCCTTCAGGTGTTGCTCTGGGAACAGCAGCGATTGACCGGGCGGCTCCCCCGGGGAAGCACTGGGGATTCTGTGCTGCTTCCTCTGACCCAGGGTGGACACAGGCCCCTGTCCAGGGCTCAGTCTTCTCCAGCTGCGTCTGCCTCACTGCCAACCTCAGAGCCCACCAGCCAGGCCCGAGTCCTCTCCAGCTCAGACGCCCCTGCCAGGACTCTGCCCTTCACCACAGGTGAGATGGGATTTGCATGGAGGCAGGAGGGAGGGGCTTGGAAGCATGAGTCCATGTCTGTCTCAAACCATCCCTCAGAACATCTTTAGAGCATTTTCCTAGTCTCGTTAGATCCACATGGCAGGTAACCCATGAAGCAGGTGGGACAGGTGGTTATTCTGCTTTCCAGAGACCAAGGCTCTGGAAACCTAAGGTCAAGGTTGTGGTTAAATAGCAAGCTGGCAGTCCGGCTGGGATAAGAATCCGAATCTCCTGCCAACTCATTCGGCCTTTTTGAAAAATGATATTACTGTTGCTCTGCTTGTAAAGAGAGCTCAGGAGTATTTTAGAATCTGAAAACTACAGAAAGGCATAAGAATCAAATAAAAATAACTAACCTGAATTCCAGAATCTACCACTTAAAGGAACTCTATTTAAATTCTGCTACATTCCAGTCCATCTCTGTTCTAGCCACATACACATGCGCATGTGCAAGAAACACCAACTGCATTTGTACCCTGTTTACCTAACAGATAATGGACACTTCTTGAAAAAAAGTTAATCTTTAAAATGGAATCTTATAGGATTTCATCCCACTACTTTTTATTTATTTATTTATTTTTAAAATTTGCTGGAGGGGACATGTGCTTACCGAAGAGAGATGGGTTTGGAGGGGGAGCAAGAAAGCCCTGCCCCCCGATGAGGAATGGTCATGCCGCAGTCCCTTCTCCATTT